GGGGGGCGGTGGTGGTCACCGGGGAGCAGCCACGGTTGTTGCGGTCACGGGGCCAGGCCGGGAGGGCCGCCGTCATTAAGGAAAATGAGGCGGGCTCGGCTGTGCGCGCGGTGGGACGCGCCGGCCACGGGCACGCCTGCGCGGGGTCACGGCGCGGAGGATGCTCCGGGCGGGGCGACTCACCTCGACACAGTATCGGCATTGGCAGGTGCCCAGGCGCGTTGTCAGAGTCTCGGGCACGTCCATCAGGCACAGCTTGCACAGCACGTACTCCTCGGGCGGCGGCGGCGCGCCGGGGATGGGGGAGGACGTCCTCGACGGGGAGAGGGGGGTGAAGGAGGCGGCGCTGGCGTGCAGCGAGTAGCGCGACGAGGAGGCGAGCGACAGGATGCTGGAGCACCGCGAGCACACCCGCGAGGCGGAGGCCGCGGACGCGCCGCCGTGGCTGGGGATCCTCAGCCTGTTGACGGGCCGGACGGGCTCGGCCAGCCCCTGCAGCCTGCCGGTGGTGAGGCACTTCCTCAGCGGCGGCCCCAGCTGGCCCGCGGGCGGGGGTGATGAGCGCGGCAGCGCGCGGTCCTTGAGGAACTGCAGCACGTTGTAGCAGGAGACGGCGCGCGCGCGCCCCGGAGCTCTACCGGGCGGAGAGCGGCGGCCCGCGGCCCCCGTGGCGCCCACCGCGCTGTCACACGAGCGCTGCCTGGAGAGCAGCGGTGCCACATCGGCCAGGCCGTCAGCACTCTTGACCCTGGACAGCCCGAGGCCGCCGAGCCCGAGGCCACCGAGGCCCAGGCCCAGGCTGGCCGCACTCAGTTGGCGGCGGAGCGGCTGGCCCGGAGAGGATGCCGTCGGCGACAGGGACACTTCCTCGCTGGCCCTCCGAGTCACGGGAGGAGGCGCAGGCTTGGTCGACGGCGACGGCGTAGAGAAGAAGGCCGCGCGGGCCAGTTGGGCGGCCGTCCGTGGGGACGGCGCGACTGGGGGCGCTGCAGCGTGCGGGGAGGCGCCCGGGGGCGGCAGGGCGGCCGCCGAGGGCGGTCCCACGCCTCCGCCACCCACGCCTGGAGGGGCCGGGGGCGTCGTGGACATGGTCGGCGACCCTTTGCGCCGGTTTAGCAGGGCGCGGAGTGCAGGCATGGGGCCTGGGGCAGGGGCAGGCTGGGCAGCAGGCTGCTCCGGGCAGTACCCCCCGCACCGGCCCCCGCACCGCCCCACGCACGGCCCCCCGCCCCCGAGGGGCAGGCCGGGCAGGCACGCCCCCCACGTAGTCTCGCGGTCCTCAGGGTGGACGAGGCAGTGCGGCGACCGGGAGACGCACCAGTCCCAGGAGCGAGGGCGAGGCCGTGGCCAGGGCCGGGACCCGGGCCGCAGGGACACCCGGTACACAGTGCCGTAGCACGAGCGCACCTGTCGCCTGGGATGGGCATGCGCACAGCGCACTGAGCTGTGCTCCCTCAGCAGCACCTGCAACAAGCGTATTGATTATCTCAAAGTGTTTGTCACTCTCTTCACTCGTCGTTTGCGTTATCCCTTCACTAGCTGATCGGAGATATGTAGACAACCACACACAAATATATTTTAAATAATTAAAGAACTACTGTTTGAGGCCTTATTTTGTGCGCAACCTCTCGAGTTTGTGCAGATAACAAAACAGAAGTGTGGCCTTTGCAAGTTCTACTGTACTGTGCCGCATAGTACAACCTTTCGCCTGGGCGAGAGCGCCTGGCGGGCGGCGGCACGGCAACCCGCTCGCTCTCCTGCTCGGCGGTACAGTCTACCCCCAAGAAGCTCAAGGGGCCATCCAGTGGGAGGTCTGGTCTGTAGCACAGTCTATCGGCCTACCTTCGGGCGCGTGCGAGCCGGGTGGGACTATCCTATCAGTCTGGTCAGTGCGTCATCCAGGTGAGGCATTATCGCAAGGATGAAGCGCCCAACCAACAAGAGGGAGCGTTCGACTCGACAGACAAGCCAGGCCCACCAGACCTCAGGCCACCTATTGTTGGGCTTTACAAAGGCCTCGCCAACCCGCGACCGGCGGCCACGAGGCCCCGCGGTGGGTGCCTCGCACCGCAGCACCGTGTGGCTGGCCCCTCCCGCTCCCCTCCCTCGTCCCCCCTCCTCCCCCAAACCCTTCAGACGAGAGCAGACGCGCACTCACTCACCTCTTGGTCGTCAGCCGGTGGGGGGGCTGGCCCATGGACTGGCCC